GCAGATTCCCAGAAGTGCATTTTCTAAAGTATCACCTTAGTTGTCAAAATGCTCTCTGAATTGGTTGTACCAATATACCAGTTTACACACCCATCAGCAGAATAGGTAGTTTGGGGTCCCCAGGGAACAGGTGTCTGATCCATCCTGAGAAATTCCAGCTGAGAGAGCTAACTAGTTGAGGGAGCTTGGGTGGCTGTGGGAACACATGACCCACCAGTGTTAGAAAATGAGGTATAGCTGGACGCCCGTGGCTCACCCCTGTAATCCTAGCTACTCAGGAGGCTGTGATCTGAGGATACTGTTCAAAGCCAACCCAGGCAGGAAAGTCTGTGAGACTGTTATCTCCAATAAGCCACCAGAAAACTGGAAGTAGTGCTGTGCCTCAAGTGGTAGAAAGCTCACCTTGAGCTAAAGAGATGAAGGACAGCGCCCAGGCCCAGAGTTCAAGCCCCATAACCAACAAAAAGAAAGAAAGAAAGAAAGAAAAGAAAAGAAAGAAAGAATCACATGTGTCCTTATTTTGGGGTTCATTTTGCTTAACATCTTTTATCTGACCTTTTCTGCTTGTCTCAGATCTATATTAGTTATTGCATATAAGGGAAACCATGGGGCCTATGTTTCTTTGCACCTGGCTTACTTCACTTAATATAATTTTTTCCAAGTCTTTCCATTTTCTAACAAATGGGGCAATGTCATTCTTTCTGAAGGAGGCATAGAATTCCATTGTGTATATATACACACATTTTCTTGATCCATTCATCTACTGAGGGACATCTGGGTTGGTTCCATATCTTAGCTATGGTAAATAATGTTGCAGTAAACAGTTGTGCTGGTAGCTTTTCTTTCTTGCTATTGTTTCTAATGTATTTATAGGGTATCACATGATTTTTTTTTGTTGTTGTTGCTTTGTATGTCCTTCCCCCACGGTATAACCCGTTTTACTGTATTTGATGTTGGTATAATTTGGAGAGCGGAAGGGAAAAACAAATTGTTTAAATAGGGATACAGGTTGGCCCACTGCAACAATGAGACGTACAAGACACTATGTCGGAAAATCAAACTTTACAATTTAGGGAAGGGATGGTAGAGGAAAAACAAAGGAGGAGGCAACAATAGATAAGAAATGTACTCATTACCTTGCTCATGTGATTGTAACCCCTCTGTACAGTATTTTCACAATAAAAAACATTAAAAAATGAAAATGTTCATGACTAACCAAAAAAAAATGAGGGATAGATTTCATCAAGGGAAGTTACTTTGCACAGAGGGTATGCTGCCACTCTCCCCAGAGCTGAGCAGGTGCACCAGGTGGTGGTAGTTCACTGTTTTTTGGTTTTGGTTTATTTTATTTTATTTTTTGGTCAGTCATGGGGCCTGAACTCTGGGCCTGGGTGCTGAGGGTCTTCAGCTCAAGGCTAGTGCTTTCCCATTTGAGCAACAGCACCACTTCTGGCCTTTTCTGCTTATGTGGTGCTGAGGAATTGAACTCAGGTCCTCATGCATACAAGGCAAGCACCTTACCACTGAGCCACTTTCCTAGCCCCTCATTGGGTTTTTATCCTGAAAGGGTAACATTGTTCCTTCTCCTTGCTGCTAAGGAGTCAGACTCACATTTCTATTTGCAATTGGTTTCTAGAGTGGAAGTTAGCATTCCAACCACTCAACGGAGGTCTATCTCATCGCAGCTATCTGGGAACCAGACTGGGAATGGGACCGCAGACAGGTATAGTTGGAGGAGTTTGGTAAAGTCAGTGTCAGATGCTTACGTAAGAGAGGTGGTGTCTATTCTTTAACTCCTTTGTTAAGGACATACCCTTGACATGGCTAGCTGATTACAAATAACTCAGATGATAGTTCCAACAAAAATCAAGAAGCAAATAATTCTAAAAAATATCAGTACCAAAAAATATCAGTACAGGCTGGAAAGTTGGCTCAGTGGTAGAGCGCTTGCCTCGCATGCATGAGGCCCTGGGTTTGATTCCTCAGCACCACATAAGCAGAAAGAAGCTGGAAGTAGTGGTGTGGCTCAAGTGGTAGGGTGCTAGCCTTGAGCTGAAGAGCTGAGGGACAGTGCCCAGGCCCAGAGTTCTGCCCCATGACTGACAAAAAATAAATAAAAATAAAAGAAATATCAGTACAGAGTGGTGACTATTTACCAAATGGAGACATTTTAGTTTTATAGAAAAGATTGTTTTGTTTCTCATCTGACGAAGAGAATGATAGCTGCCAAGGGATCGGCTTGCTTGGGCAGAATGTGTCAAAGGATAAGCAGGTGTTTCCATGGAGCATATGTGGCCTATCATGAGAAAACCAACATGGGATTATATTAAATCTTATCCACAAGACCTGAGTGCAAGAGCAAATTGACTTCAGTACAAATAACCTAAAGGCATCACCAAATTTCTAGGGGCTAAAAAGAAGCTACATTGGCCTTGCCAAAGGAAGTGAGATGAGTGGAGATCTGGTAATGAATTGCCAAGGAAACCAGCACGAATGTCCCCAAGAATCAGCTATAAACATCTGCTGAGATGACATAGGCCTTTTTCTCTATGACCAGAGCAAAAAGAGTCAAGTAAGAGCTTCTATTCCTCTTTACAGTCTTCTCTGTTGCTATATCCTAGGCAAGATGGCGGGGGGGGGGGGGGGGGGGGTGCGGGGTGGGGGGAGGGAAGGGAAGGAAATGGAAGCCTAGATGAAGAGAAGCCCACATTTCTCTTTCTCCAAAGCCAGCTTCACAATAGCAGTGTGCTACAAGGGACTGGGGGAAGAAGCCACAACTGTAAACCATGCTTGGCATTTGGACTGGATAAATGTGAATGAAATGACACATTTTTATGACCTTAACTATACAGTAGGACTTCTTAAAACCTAAGAATGAGCTGAAAGGTCATGACCTTATACTCTGAATTTATATCAAAAGACAAGAAGAATTAGTGGGGAGGAAAAAAATAAAGATGCTTCCTAATTATACATCAGACTCATGCTTGTTTAATGAGACAAGCAAACGTTCTTCCAGAGTGGCTTTATCTTGTTTTCTAGAAAGCTTCTGGCAGCACTAAGGGAACTAGTTTTAAATTTTTGGCTAAGTCATGTGTCATTTAAAATAAAATATATAAAAGAAAAAACCCAATGCTTTCAAAACCAAATACAATTGATTTGGAGAGTCCATGGTCTTCTGGTAGATATTGAAATGGCAGTATTCTTTCCTGTAATTAACTGGAAGGACTAAATATTCACATAAGTAGCATTAATTAATAGACAAAAAGCACTAAACTCAAACACAAATTCTTAATATTTCGTCTATCAAAATGCATTTGAGAGCTGGGAATGTGGCTTAGTGGTAGAGTGCTTCCTCTGTTCCACATAACAGAAAAAGCTGGAAGTAGCACTGTGGCTCAAGTGGTAGAGTGCTAGTCTTGAGCACAGAAAGGCTCATGGACAGTGCCCAGGCCCTGAGTTCAAGCCCCAGAGTTGGCAAAAAAATGCAGTTGATATTATAGGATAAATAAAAACATTATTACATAATAACATATAGGCTGAGTGCTGTTGACCCATACCTATAATCTTTGCTACTCAGGAGGTCAAGATTTGAGGTTTGAGGTTGGAAGACAACCTGGGCAGACAAATCTGACACTCATATCTCCAATTAATTAGCAAAAAGCCAGAACTGGATCTGTGGCCCAAGTAGTAGAGTGTGAGCCTTGACCAAAAAAGTTGAATTCAAAGGCTTTCCTTGTTGGGGGGAGGATGGTAGTCCCACTATCCCTTCCATCCCCCACTTTCCTCACTTCTCCCCCCTGCCAAAGTTGTAAAATTCATTTCCAGTATAGTTTCTTCTGGGTATCATTGTTGCAATGGGTCATCCTGTATCCTTGTTTCAGTGTTTTGTTATTCCCCTTCCCCTCCCCAAATTAGACAAATATATATACAAGATGCAGGGTACCAAAATCAAGTACAGTGACAACAGGGGACATACTATAGGGGAAAGAACATACAAAAGAAACAAAAAATCACATAGTACATTAAAAACAACAACAAAGAAAGACCTGTCTATGTCTTGGAAAAAATCATATTAAGTGAAGTAAGCCAGACTTAAAGAAATATAGGTCCCATGGTTTCCCTCCTTTGCAATAATTAGTATACATCTAGGATATTTTTATCAGATGAGCAGGAAAGCTCAAGAGCTATGTACATATGACCATATAAGATAATGCTAAGTGAAATGAACTCCTTCAGTTGTTTACACATCTATAATTGTGCACTGTGTGTGACTGTGTGTGCGTGCATGGCACTCTACCACTTGAGCAACAGCTCTACTTCTGGCTTTATGCTGATTAATTGAATAGACATTCCTGCTCAGGCTAGTTTCGAATCGCAATCCTCAGATCTAAGGCTCCTGAATAGTTAGGATGACAGGCATATACATTACAGGTCACAGGTGCACTGCTTACATCTATAACAATTTTTTTTTTTGGTGCTAGGGATTGAACGTGGGCACAGCACTACTACTGAGCTGAATTCTTGAATTCAATATATAATGTTTCCAGAGAATAAATTAATATATAATTCCATCAGGTAGTGTTCAGTGGATATAAGCATTAGGTTTACGTATAGAAGTAGGCAAACATAAGAGTATAATTTTCATTTTACTTTTCTTTTTTTTTTTTGTCGGTCGTGGGGCTTGAACTCTGGGCCTGGGCGCTGTCCCTCAGTTCTTCAACTCAAGGCGAGCGCTCTACCACGTGAGCTATAGCGCCACTTCCGGTTTTCTGGTGGTTTATTGGAGATAGGAGTCTCACGGTCTCTCCTGCCCGGGCTGGCTTTGAACCGCGATTCTCAGATCTCAGCCTCCTGAGTAGCTAGGATTACAGGCGTGAGCCACCAGTGCCCGGCCTTCATTTTACTTTTCTGATGTAATTCCAAATTCCTTCAGAATTAGCATCTTTCATTGTCAACCATATACATAATCTCAAAAGTGGAAAAATCAGAGAAAATATACCTCATTTAAAATAATCATTTTTATTAAATGTTTCCATGTTGTATCAAACCAAATTTTTCAATTAAATCCAATACAGTGATAGTAAGGTGGAAAAGCACAATGCAAATTACTACAAATCAACAAAATTAAAAAAGATTTCTAAAATTACATTTATCACAAACATTTTAAACCAAGCTAAATTCAGATCATTACAGTGTTACCAGAATTATCTCATTCAAAGATTTTTTCCCCACTCACTCTTAAGCTAGAGTAAGACACTAACCCTAATATTGTGGAATGTTAGCATTTATGTTTGACACCTAAACATATATGATCTGTATAACTACATTTCAAATTTAGTTTGCTTACATGTGTTGGTGATTTGGGAGAAAAATCTCAACACAGAAGAAGTTGAATTCTCCCATGATACAGAATAAAACGTCAACTAATGCTATAGACAAAACCAAAAAGAGAAGTGTAGATCCTTTCAGTGTGTGTCTACATGAAATGGGTGGGTATCTTACTAATTAGGTGCTCACAATTTCAAATGAAGAAATTACCAGCCATTCTGAAAGTAGGGTTAGGAAAAAAAAAGTGATTGCAAGACAATCTTCCATTTTAAGGTTTTTGTTGTTGTTTTGTTTTGTTTTTCCAACTAGCAAAACACATAAAACAACACATTCAATCTCTGTGAAACACAAGGAATAACCTTAGAAACATGGAGCATATTTTAAGCTCCAATTTTAACTCTTCACTTAGGTCTTACAAGCTTTGAAACGCAAGTACAGCTTTAAAGCATCGAAATGACTAATTATAGATAATAATGATACAGTCTATACCCTGGGAGGCAACTGTAGGCGTTGTAATTGGAAATAAGCATCCTGAGATAACGCTAATAGCAGTGTAGAAAAATGAAGTTAAAAAAGCAATCAGTGTTGAGAATCCTCCAGTCATGGGATTTTATTCTAATCATCTCCTCCGCAGAGAATGAGCAGGACTTTCCTGTAGTCTCCTGAGGTGTCACCCTGGCAGCAAGGGAAGCAAAGCTGCAGTTAGGTAAGTGGCTTCTCCGTGGAACGCATAGTTCAAAGCCACCTATGTTTTCTTCAAGCTTTGTTCTTTTTTTTCCCTTCTGTGCTCTTAAAAAATATATTTTATTACAACAGTAACACTTTGTTCAGTGTAGAAACTTAAGACATAAAAGAACATAAGAAGCTGGGTGCCAGTGACTCAGATCTGTAATTTGATTGTGGATTGAGACCAGACCAGGCAGGAAAATATATGAGACTCTTATCTCCAATTAAAAGCTGGAAGCAGAGTTCTGGCTCAAGTGGCAGCGCACTAACCTTGAATAAAAAGCTCAGGGACAGTACCAGGCCCTGAGTTCAAGCACCAATACTTAGACATACATACATACATACATATAAGCATGTACACACACAAATCACATACATATGGCTCCTCTTCCTACAGGTTACTATCAATATTTTGTGTGTGTGTGTATCTTTCCAATCTTTTTTCTAAACACAGAGATACCTGTTTTTTCTAGTGCTGGGATAGAACCCTAGACAAGCAATCTACCATTGCCCCATGTTCCCAACCTCCACATATCTGGTGCATTTAATATTAATACTGAATACTTACCTATTTTGTTACATATTCTTTTACAGTATTATGTAGTGATGATAGAGTATTCCATTATGCATAAGTAAAAATAATTTGACTACACACTCTTCTTCATTGTTGAATAGTCATTTCCAATTTTTCACTATAATAAGTACTGCTTCAATATATTTATTTTAGCTAAGCTTTTGTGCATTTTCTTCATAATTTACTTCTGAATCCGTTTTAATAAAATAGAAATTACTAGTGGCGCTGTGGCTCAAGTGGCAGAGCGCTCGCCTTGAGCTGAAGAGCTGAGGGATAGCACCCAAGCCCAGAGTTCAAGCCCAAGACTGCTAAAATAGAAATTACTAAAGATCATGTATTTTAAGCTGGGCGCTCGTGGCTCATGCCTGTAATCCTAGCTACTCAGAAGGCTGAGATCTGAGGATTACAGTTCAAAGCCAGCCTGGGCAGGAAAGTCTGTGAGACTCTTATCTCCAGTAAACCACCAGAAAACCAGAATGGCACTGTGGCTCAAGTGGTAGAGTGCTCGCCTTGAGCTGAAGAGCTGAGGGACAGTGCCCAGGCTCAGAGTTCAAGCCCCACAACGGACAAAAAAAAGAAAAAAGAGATCATGTATTTGATATAACTTATAAAACAGTCTTCCAAGAAAGTTCTATCATTTCTGTGTGGAAATTTTTATGGCTTAATGAGAAATCAAAACCTTTTTCTTGTTGGCGCGCGTGCATGTGCTCACACGTGTGTGTGTGTGTGTGTGTGTGTGTGTGTGTGCGCGTGCGTGCGCACGCGTGCTCTCGCACATGCTTAGGATTGAACCTGGAGCCTTGTATATACATTGGGCTGTACTGTGGATTTTTTGTTGTTGTTATTTTTTGTTTTTGTTTTTTTGTGCTAGTAGTAGGGTTCAACCTCAGGGCCTCATTTTCTTGCTTAGCTTTTTCCACTCAATGTTCACACTCTACTATTTGGATCACAACTCCATTTCTGGCTTTTTGCTGGGTAAGTAAAAATAAGAGTCTTAGATTTGTCTTTCTGAGGTGGCTTTGAACTGGGATCTTCAGATCTCAGCCTCTGGAGTAACTAGAATTATAGCTGTGAGCCTCCATTAATTTTTGTTAGTACTTCACAGATACTAAAATAGATGAACTCTCAGTACATGCAGTTCAAAATGTCTGTTAAAAATCAGTCAATATTCTTATTTATGCTTTGATTCAGTGATGATCTGCCAGAGAATAAAGATGTGTTAAAGTCTCTCAGTAACATAGTGTTTTCTCAATGTCTTTTTTTGAAGCCCCAGTCTCTTGACTAATCCTTATTATGAATTGTTGCTTGCATTAATATAAAGTGATCTACTGTCTTCTAAGTTCTTCTCTTTACTATTAGTGTGACCCTATCTTGCTCTTTTGGTGTTTGTTGAATGTCCTTTTCCCTGGCCCATTTCTTTAAACTGTTTACATGCTATGGTAAAAAGTGTTCCTTATAAATCACATAAAGTTGGACTTTGTGTTTTTACCTAACTTGAATCTACTTTTAGTTATTATAGAATGTAGTTATTTTAGTAGCCTGTTGTAATCATTTACATTATTAAACTTAGGTTATATATTATAACTTAGATTTTTATCTTTTGTCACTTTTCTTTTTTGGGGGGGGGGGTGGTCATGAGGCCTGAACTCTGGGCTTGGGCGCTGTCCCTCAGCTCTTCAGCTCAAGGCTAGCGCTCTACCACTTGAGCCACAGCACTACTTCTGGCTTTTTTCTGTTTGCTTATGTGGTGCTAAGGAATCAAACCCAGGGCCTCAGGCATGCAAGGCAAGCGCTCTACCACTGAGCCACCTTCCCACCCCCTCTTTTGTCACTTTTCTACTATTTGTTATTAGAACTTAGATTCTTATTCTTTGTAACTTTTCTATTATTTACATATTCTCTTTTTCTTCTTTTGTTTCCTTTCATGACAGTGATTGAATGGGCAATGCTTTTATTTTATACATGCAGTAAAAAAAATTTCATAAGTAAAAATTATTTCATACAAATGACTAATTCATAAATCAAATCCTGTTGTGACGTTTGTTGTGCAGGTAATCCCAAAACTTCTAGAGAAACTGGGTCTCAGGTAACTGGTTTCCAGATAATCATCTGAAAATTCATTTTCTAATAATTTGGGTTTAGGAAGACTATTGTAGCTTCTTCAAGAAGCCAAGTCCCATTGATGAGGGGGCTAGAGTTGTGCATCATACCTCAGTACTCTCATGCTATCTGTGGACTCCTAGGTTCCCAGTAAAGAACAGCAATCTAGGGAAAGAATAGAACCAAGCACTCTAGGAGAACTAAAATTTCTTGTATTTCCAGCAGATCTCAGTGGCTCCTGAAGGATTCTGAGTTTTGCTACTTCTTTGGTTGTTATTAGGTAGCCACTGAAATTATGCTCCTAAAAGTATACATCAAAATGTCATCACAGCCGGGCACTGGTGGCTCACACCTGTAATCCCAGCTACGCAGGAGGCTGAGATCTGAGGACCATGGTTCAAAACCAGCCTGGCAAGGAAAGTCTGTGAGACTCTTATCTCCAATAAACCACCAGAAAACCAGAAGTGGTGTGGCTCAAGTGGTAGAGTGCTAGCCTTGAGCTGAAGAGCTCCAGGACAGCGCCCAGGCTCAGAGTTCAAGCCCCATGACTGACAAAAAAAAAAAAAAAAAAGTCATCACAGAAGGGAGGAAAAGTGGGAGAAAAATGAAAAGGGGATAACAAGTTCAATAAGAAATGTACTCACTACCTTATATACATAACTGTAATGCCTTTGTCCATCATCTTGACAATAAAATTAAATTTCAAAATGTCATTGCATTAAATGTAAAATTTGGGATCAACATGAAAAAAATGACAGTATTTGAAAGGCAACTAGTTCCAGCTTTATAATCTGGTAAAGGCTTAGAAATGTGTATGAAAAGAGAAAGCCTGTAAATATCTGAAGTAGAGAACTATTTTTATTAGGAATGATAGATGTTAAAGAGGAGACCAGAAGGGCTAAGTGTTGGGGTTAGGCCCCATCCTTTCATGGGTGCTTTCCCCGGGGCCAAGGAGATGCTGTTTGCCCTACCTTGATGAAAGAGTACAGAGACTTTCCATAGAGCCTCTTGAAATTTGCCCGGATGTCCAGCATGTCAATCTCTGCACGGGAAACCATCACTCTGATGAGGGTGCTATCATCCGTGCCCAAGCCCTATGGAAGAAAGTGAGATTTGAGTTTTCAGATAATGCTCTTCCCCCAGGCTAGTGAGGCAAGATGGTAGGTGACTCTCCTTATAGTGTCCTTTGCTCCATGACCTTGGAGACACAGGTCATCTTTACTCCTTGCCATATGATTCAAAGCTTTCCACAACTCACTTGTCTAACATTCTTATGTTCTGAGCAGGGGGACGCTGCGCTCTCTGCCTTTCTAGAGACACACTGTGTTGTTCAGCTTGCTTGCATTTTATCTACTACCATGACTCCCCATTGTATAACAATTGCTTGAAGGTCCAAATATGCCAACTTTAGAATCCCCCTAAAATGAAACCATTGAAAAACACACACCATCTCCTGCATGTTTTTATAATACTTGGATCCTGGACTAATGTCTTATATTCTTAATGTTGATGTTTTATACATACTTGCTTTCCTTACAAGGCAGACAGTCCTTGAGAGAACTGTATTTTCATCTTTCCTGCACCTTGTATGGTTCCTATCATGGAGTCTGCACAGAGCACAAGCCAGGGTTAGGAACATGGGCTCTGAAACAAAATTTCAAGTATTTGTACCTTGCTTCACTACTTCCTCACTGAAGACTTTGGGAAATTATATGTCTTTTCTATGCCTCAGTTTCCTCATCTGTAAAATAGAATCAGTAATAATGCCCTCCCTGTTGAGCTATAATGGGGTCAAATTAAATAATACATACTAAGCATTGTGATTCACACTGTGTACTCAATAATAGTACTCACTAATGATTACTTAGTATCAGTAGCACTTGAAGTATCTGATGAATTTGTGGTTTTTATGAGGGTTGGAGAAGGGTTGAGATGGCATCTCATTAGGAAACCCAGGCCTGCCTTAACTTGCTTTGTGGCCCAGGTTAGCCTTCAACTCATGATCCTTTTGCTTCTGTATCCCAAGTGCTGTGATTATAAGGATGTACCGCCCAGGCCCAGCAAATATATGATGGATTGGATATATGATGCTTGATATTTCAGGTTAGAAGTTAGATGGGATATAAGCAAACCTAGAAGGTAGGTAAGAGATGTGCCAAAGTCATTCAGATGCCATTTACCTTCATAGATTTATAAAGCCTCTCAGCAAAGTATGCAGGCTTATTCCTCATACACTTTACTGTCAAGAGAAAAACAAAGAAAAGATTACAGATAAGATCTAAGACACTAAAGAAAAGTGACAGTTGTTTCCCCATTTGTACAGAGCAGCAAGAAATTTCTCTTGATTGCCAGCCAAACAATGTTTCAGGAACATTTTTTTATTGTGAAAATACCATAGAGAGGGACTACAATTACATGGGCAAGGTAATGAGTGCATTCCTTCAAGCATTGTTGCCTCCTCCTTTGTTTCCCCTTCCCATCCCTTCCCAACTCCCTCCACCCCACCCCCCTCTTTCATGAACATTTTTTTTTCTTTTCGTTTTTTTAAAAATCTTTTTTGCTGGTCTTAGGCCTTGAATTCTGGGCCTGAGTGCTGTCCCTAAGCTCCTTTTAACTCAAGGCTAGAACTCTACCATTTGAGCCACAGCACCCCTTCTGATTTTTTTCTGTGATTAATCGGAGATAAGAGTCTCATAGACTTTCTTGCCCGGGCTGGTTTGAACCATGATCCTCAGATCTCAGACTTCTGAATAGTGAGGATTACAGGTGTGAGCCACTGGCACCCAGCCATGAACATTTTCGAGAGGTTTATTGGACATAAGAGTCTCATGTACTTTCCTGCCCAGGCTGGCTTTGAACCTCGATCCTCATATCTCAGCCTCCTGAGTAGCTAGGATTACAGGCATGAGCCACCAGCGCCCAACAACATTTTCTTTTTTTTTTTTTTTGGGTCCGGTTGTGGGGCCTGAACTCTGGGCCTGGGCACTGTCCCTCAGCTCTTCAGCTTAAGGCTAGCGCTCTAACACTTGAGCCACAGCACCATTTCCGGCTTTTTTCTTTTTGCTTATGTGGTGCTGAGGAATCGAACCCAGGGCCTCAGGCATGCAAGGCAAGCGCTTTACCACTGAGCCACCTTCCCAGCCCCCAGCAACATTTTCTTTATGGGAAGTTTCCTCAATTTATTATCAAGTTACTAGAGAAGTAAATAATAAAGGCCATCAAAACAAAGGATGACATATAGTTTCCAAATGATTATTATGTTTACTGTATGAAACAGTTATTCTAACTTTCATAGACTTGCAAGATAAAGCTACCATAGTATCATCTTACCTGTATAATAAGATAGAGAAGCTATGTGACACAATAACAACCAGGTTGTATGTAATATTTCTTGTTTAAAATTCTGAAAGAGGGCTGGAAGGTGGCTCAGTGGTAGAGCGCTTGCCTTGCATGCATGGGGCCCTGGGTTTGATTCTCCGCACCACATAAACAGAAAAGGCTGGAAGTGGCACTGTGGCTCAAGTGGTAGATCACTAGCCTTGAGCAGAAGAGCTGAGGGACAGCGCCCAGGGCCAGAGTTCAAGCCTCATGACCGACAAAATAAAATAAAGTAAAAATTCTGGAAGAGCTGGTACATACACTTGTAGTTTCAGCTACTCTCAAGATCACTTTTTTTTTTCAGTACTGAGGAACTGAACTCAGGATCTCCAATTAATAAGAAAACACTATCACTTGAGCCACACCTGCTTTTGATTTTAGTTTATTTTACAAATAGATTCTGGTTCTAGTTGTCCTACCTAGCCTCAAATCATGATCTTATCACCTCTCTCTCTCTTTTCTCTCTCTGTCTCTCTTTCTCTCTCTCATCGGTTGTGGGGCTTGAACTCTGGGCCTGGGTGCTGTCCCTCAGCTCTTCAGCTCAAGGTGAGTGCTCTACCAGTTGAGCCACAGTGCCACTTCTGGTTTTCTCATGGTTAGTTGGAGATAAGAGTATTATGGACTTTCCTGCCCAGACTGGCTTTGAACTGGATCCTCAGATCTCAGCCTCCTGAATAGTACCAGCGCCCAGCCTTCCATTTCTCTTGAGTCTAGGAATTCCAGACCAGCTCAGACAACTTAGCAATAATGAGAAGCCGGGTTCAGGTGGCTCATGCCTGTAATCCTAGCTACTCAGGAGGCTGAGATATGAGGATCCAGATTCAAAGCCAGCCTGGGCAGGAAAGTCCATGAGACTCTTATCTCCAATAAACCACAAGAAAACCGGAAGTGGTGCTGTGGCTCAAGTGGTAGAGCACTCGCCTTGAGCTGAAGAGCGCTGGGACAGTGCCCAGGCCCAGTTCAAGCCCCATGACCGACCAAAAAAAATAAAGAATGAGAGAAGAGAGAGAGGAAAGAAGGAAAGAGAGGAGAGAAAGAGAAAGAAAGAAGAAAGGGAAGAAAGAAAGAGGGAAGAAGGAAGAGCTAGATAGAAAAAGAAATAAGTAAAAAATAATTCTGGAATGTACTATGAATGATTGAAACAATTTTGAGCTCTGAAAAAAATTCTATATCATCATGAGAAAAAACTGCCAACAAGAATGAAAGTGGATAAATATTTGTTTTTCTGCCCCCCCCCTTTCTGAACTTACCTATAGCCAGCAGAGCATCTTCAAAGCTACCAGATGTTTCAGATTTAATGCTCTGTTCAATATCCTTCTGTGATATTCTCTTGTATTCATCAAACACTAAAAACAATAACAAAATGGAATCACTAACAATAAAAAACAATAGAAGGAGCTAAAGTTTATGAAGAGAATAGCATCTTTTCGTGAGTTTACACTGTTTATTCAAAAGGGGACTAATCAGAACAGAACCACAATGGATTGGGCCCAAGGCCAGGAGGAAGGAGCCTGGGGATTCATGGAGGACCCCAGGCAAATCCCTTTCCTTATTTTGGACTTTGTGTCCTTACACATGAAGTGGAGACATTCCCTGAGACGGCTGCTTTATTTTCCCATTACTTTTAATAAGCAGAATGCATATCCTGTAATTTTGGCCTAGGCCCTCGCCTACATGTTCATCTTCCTTTTGGCTCATTAAAACTAAAGCAATTCAGCCTTTTCAAAATGGAGTCACATTTGAGAACAGCCAGTTTCATCTTTTATTAGACTTTGGCATAATTGTTTTTTCTTTTTGCCATTTTTTTTTTTTAGTGTGATGGATATGCTTTCTTCTCTTGCTGGCTTCTTCTAAAGCTCTCTCATAGCAGGTATCTATTGTGTTTATCTCCTTAATCATCTTCTTTGGTATAGGATCTTATAGGGTCTTTCCCCTATCAATCTGATTCTCAGAGGCCGTCGATCCATACCCAACAACAAACACAAAACCTCTACTAAACGAGTGGACCATCTATTCAGTTAAGACTTAGCAGGTCTGCCCTCCTAAGAGTTTTTGTGTATTTATGTGTGTGTGTATATGTGCTGTGTGTGTGTGTGTGTGTGTGTGTGTGTGTGTGTGTATAAATGGATTTCATTAAGGGCTTTTCATTCAAGCTCAGCTTATGTATTTATAGCTGATGCCCTACCATGTGAGCCATGCTTCTAGTCTAGCATTCTACTGGTTAATTGTAGGTAATTATCTTGCAAACATTTTTGTCCACGCTGGCTTTGAATCTCAAGCCTCTGGTCTCAGCCTTCTAAGTAGCAAAGATTATAGGCTGAGTCACCATTGCCCAACTTCCTCCTGGGAGTTTTTTAATTGAGCAGATCATTAAGATGCGTGGAATGCACAACTCACTCCTAGGATGTCAACTGAATGACCTCTGGCTCCAATCCAGGATATTTTCTCTTTAAGTTAGAGTAAGCGCATATTTACTCCAAATCGCAGAATCTGATTGACATAATTTCTCTCTCTTTTTTTTCTTTGCTAGTCCTGGGGCTTGAACTCAGGGCCTGGGAACTGTCCCTGAGCTTCTTGTGCTCAAGGGTAGCACTCTACCACTTGAACCACAGTATCACTTCTGGCTTCTTCTGCTTATGTAGTACTGAGGAATTGAACCCAGGGCTTCATGCATGCTAGGCAAGCACTCTACCACTAAGTCATATGCCCAGCCCTGATATACTCTTTAAACCTGTTTTCTCCTCTGCATATTGGGGAGAATAATGATTACTCCAGATGTTGCAAGACAGAATGCTTATTGTATGTACTGCATCAAAGAGATAGAAAACTTACTAATAGAACCTTAGCTTTCATCATTATTGCTAGTTGGTAAGATTAATTATTATTATTATTATTGTGTGTGTCTGTGTCTGTATGTCTGTGTGTGGTATGTGTGTGTGTGTGCCAGTACTGGGGGCTGAACTCAAGGCCTCATGCTCTTGTTTGGGTTTTTCACTCAAGGCTGTCACTCTACCTCTTGAGCCTCACTTTCACTTCTTGGTTTTGTTGTTGTTTTTGTTTTGGATGATTAATTGGAGATAAGAGTCTCATGCCATGGTCTTTTCTGCCTAGCAGGCTTCAAATCATAATCCTCAGATCTCAGCTTCCTGGGTAGCTAGGATTTCAGGTGTGAGTCACAGTACCCTGCTAGAAATACTACTCTATCCAAATAGTGCTTAAAATATTTTCTGTTAGTGGCTTACAGTCACTTCAACCATCTATCAGTTGACTTGTGCCAGCAAGTGAAAATTGTTACAAATTCACCATTAACTTCTGAGGACCTGCAGTTCTGAGAAAACACCACCAGGGGGAGATTTGAATTGTTGTATCCTCAAGGGAAGGCAATGAATTACTAAACTAAGCCCCAAGTCCCTACCAAATCATGAATAATTGGGCTTGTTTGTTACTGGGGAATACTTGAAATAATCATAACTTCAAAATGTGTTGTATTTTTCAATTACTCTATGTCTTCAACTTAGCAAAGACATCCTTGTCATAATTCCCACAAGCTTTGTAAATCTGTGTGTGTGATAACAACACTATGCTGGCTTTATAAAGTTATAATGTTCATAAAGTTGAGATGAAATGTCCCTATTAGATCCTTATTACTGTTTACAAGAATATAATCCTGACAATAAATATGTTGTTTGTAGAGTATCTTTCCCCAGAGAAGGTAAAAGCACATAACAAAGTTTTGAAGTATCAAATATAAATAAGAAACATCACACATAGGAAATAAAATTTGAAATTATTCATTATTCATTGCATGCAACATAAGCTCCAAAGGAATAACTTACTTTGGTTTCACAGCTTGAGTGTTAAATAGAGATAAACTTCAACCAACATTTCTATTTCATTGCTCTCTTATGTAACTAAAAGAAAATGCAAGTCTTAGGACAGCTTTAGGAAAAATGACTCACTATGAGTCAATTTCCTGGAAACAGGAGTACCAAACTTTTATGAATACATTATAAATAATCTGCTAGCTATTCCTAATTTATTTTCCAGAAATCGGTCTTCATTCATATCATTGGATTCATACATTTCCAAGGTAAAAATAGTTCAGTACAGTTCCTTTTATACCCCAAATGAAGGGGAAAAGTTTTCACTGGTGGTTAAATAGTTCCTTAGGGAGCCAGAAGCTGATGGCACATGTCTGTAATCCTAGCTGCTCCAGAAGCTGAGATCTGAGGATCATGGTTCAAAGCCAACCCTAGGGCAGGAAAGTCTATGAGACTCTTTTCCCCAATTAACCACCAAAAAGCTAGAACTGGAGATGTGGCTCAAGTGGTAGAGGATTAGCCTTGAGCACAAAAGCCTAAGGACAGTGCCCAGGCACAGAGTTCAAGGACCTTCCCACACACACCAAAAAATAGTTCCTTTATAAAGTGCCTTTAATGGTAAGTGCCTACCATGCAAGAGATGGTTGCGATTTCTAGAACAGAGTATGGTTAGAAATTTCACCTCATCTGTCCCCCATTTCTTCTCTCCAGCCTCATATAGTTCCTGAAGCCAAAGAAAGCATTAGTTAAAAACACCAAAGAGAATGTTCCAGGACATGTACAAGTATTTCCAACACATCAAATAACCACATGGACTTAGTTTTATTTTGTTGGTTGAAGAGGAAAACTCACACACTCAAACAGATGGTCTCTCTGATTTTTCAAGTTTACAACAGTGTGAAAGTGATGCATGTTCAGTAAATCACATTTCTGATCTTGAATTTTGATCTTTTCCCAGGCTAGCAATATACATACAGTATGATTATTTTTTGAAATGGAGGCAGTAGCCAGTCAGCTAAACAAGCAAGAGGTACTCATTACTAAGCTAGGGTGTTCAGACAAGCTCAGTGTACTAAACGCTTGTTCAGATTTACAGCATTTTCAACTTACTAGATTTATGAGGATATACTCCCATTGTAAATTAAGGAGGACCACTGTATGTGTGTATACACATCTTATTCAATATGTTTATTGTAAGACTTTGACTGATACATTACTTTGGTTAATAAAGTATGGTAGAAGTAAACTTAGTTTCCAAGGCTAGAGTATAAAGAGTCAAGCAGTTTCCATTGTTTCTATGGGAATGCTTGCTTTTAGGGGTCTCCTGCTGGAACTCTAGTGGACATGATCTGAGAAACCCAAACCATGCAAATATTCTTTTCCTTCTAATAAAAACAACAGGCTCTTTTCTGCATAGAACATAGTAGTTTATATTCCATACAATGATTCAAAACAATACCTCACTGTGGTCAGGAATTGGCTACAAATACATGATGTCGGTGAAAAGACCAGTCCCATTTTCTTTTTTTTGTGTGTGTGTCCGGTCATGGGCCTGAACTCTGGGCCTGGGCGCTGTCCCTCAGCTCTTCAGCTCAAGGCTAGCGCTCTACCATTTGAGCCACAGCGCCACTTCCGGCTTTTTTCCTTTTTGCTTATGTGGTGCTGAGGAATCAAACCCAGGGCCTCATGCATGCAAGGCAAGCGCTCTATCACTGAGCCACCTTCCCAGCCAAGACCAGTCCTGTTTTCTTATCAGTAAATCAAATATCACAATCCTAGGGTTATTGTAAGGATTCACAGATATACTTAATATAAAGTCTTAATGTTTGGTGCCTGCTTAGGTTGCACTTTTATGAGCTGTTATTATTAGTGTCTTATGGCACAGGAGTTGGTGTCAGAACATTTTCAGTGAGCTAGGTACCAATGAGAAAGTGTCTCTTGAGTATCCTCTGTTCCAAGCTGTTTTATATAGGTCCAAGTGAATGAAATTAAAATGCACAGTTCGATCTCCAGTGCCAAGGAAAATAAAAAGTGCAGTAAAGAGAGCAAAGGCAAGCTGGGCGCTGGTGACTCATGCCTGTAATCCTAGCTACTCAGGAGGCTGAGATATGAGGATCGAGGTTCAAAGCCAGCCCGGGCAGGAAAGTCCATGAGACTCTTATCTCCAATAAACCACCAGAAAACCAGAAGTGGCCTTGTAGCTCAAGTGGTAGAGCACTAGCCTTGAGCTAAAGAGCTGAGGGACGGCGCCTAGGCCCAGAGTTGAAGCCCCACGACCAACAAAAAACAAAAACAAAAAACAGAGAGCAAAGGCAGGTTTCTTCACCTAAAGTGGTTCAAAAGTTGAGGTTGTACCTCAGTGGAAAAGTACTTGCACAGTATGGTCCAGGCCCTGGGTTCAATTTCCAGCACTGCTTCAACATTATGAAGTCTGGAGCCAGGTGCTAGAGCTCATGCCTGTAATTCTAGCTACTTAGGAGGCTGAGATCTGAGGATTGCAGTTTGAAGCCAGCCTGGGCAGAAAAGTCCATGAGACTCTTCTCTCCAATTAACCAGCAAAAAAAAAAGTGGAGGTATGAGTCCAGCCTTGAGTGAAAAAGCCAAGCCAGAAAGTGAGGATCTGAGTTCAAGCTCAGTACTGGCACACACACACACACACACACACACACACACACACACACACACACACACACACACACACACACACACACACACACACACACACACACACACACACACACACACACACACACACACACACACACACACACACACACACACACGTCTAGGACCCAGATATGATTATGTCCAATGCCACTCCTAAGTCCCTCATACTTTCTGTTATGAAAGATCATGTATAGGAATATTTTCTTCATAACGGACTCCAGCCTGACTAATATAATTGTAAACAACAACAACAAAAAAGATCATCTACTAACTAAGGCCTTTTGAGAAAATTTACCTAAAAGAGAAATATAGTTTTACCAACCTGGGCATCCTGTCTCATGAGATCATCATTCAGGTAATTCCCTCCATCCCTGCCACCCTGAGGATGAGAAAAAAAGAAGAAAAAAAAACTCAAGGAGAACAAGAGAACACCCATGAAGATCTTGAGGTGCTGTTAAGATAGAAAACCTGTCAACAGGAACTCAAAAACTTGGAAATGAGACAAAATGCCTTAAAGGGTGGATCTTCCAGCCTAGGGAGGCAGGACGGATGTCATCTGAATGTCTTTGCAGGTATCAGGCTGTGGTCTGTGCCAGAGACCTTATCAACACAGCAGGACCCCTGATGTTACATGGGTGTCTCTGCCAGGGGAGGGCAGAGAGAATGCTCCCTCCATCTCCTCCCCCCTCCCACCTCTCCTCACTGCTCAAACTTCCTATCTGATTCAGACTTGCCATGTTGATCAGTTTCCACCAGAAAGGGGTTAGAACAGAGGAGAGTTAGGAGACCATGTGACCTGTGGTGGGGCTTGAGGATCAGATGTAATGCAACATCCAAAGCATACCAACACACAGAGGGGCATGGTGAAGCCTGGGGGGAAATACTAGCAAAGAAATAGGCTACTTTCCTTGTTAGACAATAGTTATTGTGCTGCCTTAATATTGTATGGTCTAAGCACAGTTCATCGAGGGATAAATATGGGAGGAAAGGAAAAAATGGGAAGGACATAAGACAGGAATAGTTTTAAGTAAATATCAGAGACAGGACCTGGGCAGAGTGGGAGCTGGAGATAATCTCCAGGGTTCCACTTTGAGTTTGAGAAGAAGAGAAAGAACATTAATAACCCAGGCAGCTCAGGAAGAAGAATGAGCCCTGGTTCAGTAAATGAAAGTGACGCAGGGTGATAGAATACAACCATAAGGAAATGTCTAAAAAGCAGCAAGAAATACAACTCTCCCATTCAGGAAGGAGGAAGTTAGGGGTCATATGAAGTATCTTGAGCAATCTTTCTCTGTCCCACCTCTAGCTAAGACCAGCTATATTTCTCAACTGCATCACTGATGTAAGACAGAACTTCTTACCTGGTCACTACCACCATCATCATCACAACATCCGCTGCTCCCAAAATGTCAGCTTCCTACTACTATCTAAATAAAGTACAAACTCCTTCCAACACAGCCTGTCCTTCCAGACTTACTTCTAGAACAATCAGCCTCATTGTTTATCATCTTGTTCACTAAACACACCTCTTGCTTCCCACCTTCTCACTTTGTCCTTGCTACATTTCCTTCCTGAAGTATATGAACCCAAATCTCTGCTTCTTGGAATCTTAGACATGCTCAGGGTCCTCTGTGAACCAGCATGTCCACCAGGAAGCAGAGATTGCTTTGTTCCTGCAACCCAAGTCTCTCCTGCCTTCCAGTGACTTGTGATCCTGATCTGTTCCCTCATGATAATACCAACTCTTAAAGCATACGAATGCTTCTTGATCATTTTCAGTGCTCTCAGTGAGCTTTGTGATAGGGGTACTTGTGGTAGAAGGCTAGTGAATAGTAAATTAAAATAGACTAAATGGGCAAACATGACCAGCGTGGGTTTGTGAATGACAAATCATTCTAAGAACAACACCCGGGGACTATCCATGTTTGTGAAGGGGATTGGCTGAGAGGATGAGAGGCTGGAACGGGGGGATGGAGAGTAAGTATTTAAAAAAAATCAACAAAACCCCCATCCCCCGCTAGAAGCAGGTGGCAGAGAAAGCAACTCACAGCTGACAGAGACACTAGCACCCGCTGGAACATGAACGATGTGTCAGAGCGGATGTCATCTTCAAGGCTCCGTCCGTATTCTAGCAAAAGAGGAAAATGACATCCATCAGAGAAGACTCCCGCCCAATACTGTGTGTCCCTCGCTGGAGTTCTGTCCCTTTAGGAGCACCAGTTCACCGAAACATTATCCTGGGCTTTCTCCCAGACAGACTTTCTCACAAACTAAATTCTAATGAAATGGTCAAGATAAGTTTATCTTGTCCTTGTAGTGGAAACGAGAGATTCCAGATCCTTAAGATGAGGGAGAAGGGGGACCAAAATCCTCCTTCTGGTTCCTATTATCCTGGGCTCTCCTCTGAAAGCCATTGATTGGCCACCATTCATAGAAGGTGGTGACTAGCGCAGTACTCCTTTGGTTGGTTCTGAGATAAGTTTCTCCAGGATGAGATCCAGCCCTCCACAGCCCAGAGGGGAGAAACTGCATGGAGTGGAGGTGCGAAACACAAGCTCCCAAAGTTAGAATCTCCTGTTCTGATTGTGTTATTTTTTTCTCTATAAAAATAATACAGGGGTGGGGATGTGGCGTAGTGGTAGAGTGCTTGTCTAGCATGCATGAAGCCCTGAGTTCAATTGCTCAGTACCACATAAACAGAAAAATCCAGACGTTGTGCTGTGGCTCAAGTGGTAGAGCAAAAGAAACTCAGGGACAGTTCCCGGGCCCCTGAGTTCAAGCTGTGGGACAGACAAAAATAAAAGTAAAAAAATTGGGCCAGCCAGCTCTCACAGGTCACTGCTGGGAATGATTAGAATTATGAGTAACCATATTTGTGTTTTCCCTTGAGACAGGATCTCACTAGGTGGCTCTGACTGACCTTGTGATCTTCCTGCTGCAGTCTCTTGAATGTTGGGATTACAGGAATGTACCACCATGACTGATTGTGGCAAAAATGTGATTCTTTGTTTGGTAATGAGAATAACTTCCCAGATTCCAGGCAGAGTGCTCCCTTACCCTAAGAAATCTTAAGCAGCAGCAGGCACCAGTAGTTTACACCTGTAACCCTATCTACTCAGGAGGCTGAGATCTGAGGATCAAGGTCCAAAGCCAGCCCAGACAACAAAGTCTGTGAGATTCTTTTTTTTTTTTTTTCATTGTGAAAATACTGTACAGAGGGGTTACAATTACATGGGCAAGATAATGAGTACATTTCTTATCAAGCATTGTAGCCTCCTCCCACCCCCCAACTCAATCTCCCCGCTCCCCCCTCCCCCACCCCACCAAAGTTGTAAAGTTCTGTGAGACTCTTATCTCCAACTAATCACCAAAAAGCCACTTGCCTGGATAGGGATCTGCCTCAGGGCAGAGCTTGGCACTAAGAATCTCCCCCCCCCAACTCCTTTCCCCTCCCCTCCCTTCTTTTCCCCTCCCTCCCCTCCTAACCCACCACACATACACATTCCAGGTGAGTGTATCTAGGAAGAGAGTCTCTTCAGTAGCTAACCACTGGTGCTAGAGTCATTCTTAAATCCCAGCCAAGCCTCAGCCAGGGCCACTGAGGATGCTACGTACGCTGCTGGTAGGTCTGGTTAATAAGTCGAATCTCCTCTGGGGTCCGGGAGGCCAGGATTTCAATCAGGCAACCCTCATCCGTGCCAGCTCCCTAAACATGAAACCAGAGGAAAGGATGGCATGAGCCAAATAACAAAGTGGCTACACATTTTTTTATGTTGTATGCACCTATGAGAAAATAAAATAACTAGATTATGCATTTTTAAGTTGCATTTCAGACACAGGAAGAATACCAATCTGCAGCATAGAAAAACAACCTACTGGTTGTAGCAACAAAATTTATTAGCTTGCCTAAGTGTCCTACCTAGATTGAATGTGTTCACTGTAATTACTATCAGTAATAACAAACATTTATATAGACTGATGCTTGCTGTGACAAGTTAGGTTCAGGTTAGGGAGTCTTAGTTTTTCCTTGACCCCTGTGTTCTTCCTCTGAATGGTATATACCTCAACCACATCACATATTACAACAAACTGAATGCAGAAGCAGTTTGAGAATCCAGTGGGATATTACCTAAAGAGATTTACAATTGTGGCCTTTTTGCTTTCCTGAACTTAGCCCAGAGTCTCCACAGGATGAGTATTATTGACACAGCATTTCTGCATTTCATTCTTGGTCATTTCACACTAGATCCTAACAAGGGCATAGTGGATGGATTGGTCCGAGGGAATCCAGGGCTTTCCTGCCAGTTCTAAGCCTGGAGACAGCCTGGAGGCCCTGAGGTGTCAGTCATAAAGTTCTACTCCACAAAACTAGCTAACATGCCAGGCACTGGCGTCTGGTGCCTGTAATCCTAGTTACTCAGGAGATCTGAAGATCACAGTTCGAAGACAGCCTGGGTAGGAAAGTCTGTGAGACTCTTATCTCCAATAAACTACTCAGAAAAAGCTGGAAGTGGTACTGTGGCTCAAGTGGTAGAGCACTAGCCTTGAACCAAAGAAGCTCAGGAGGACCAGCAAAAATAAAAAATAAAAATAAAAAGTTTCTACCGTAACAACAAAGTTTCTGGAACTGTGCGGATATCACAGCTAAATTGCTACTGCTGGTAGAGCTAGGCTTTGTAGACTTGGGGCCTCCAGCCACAGGAAAACGTAAATGATTTCCAATTTCCAGTCACAGCACAATTTTCACAGCTGTCCTAATGAAGGGAAATCTGACTCATAGACTTTATCCTTCTGCTCTCAGGAGGGCTTTATAAAGTTTCTGGAGACCACCCTCACCTTGTACCAAGAGCATAAAGGGAGGAGCACCGACCTTCATGGCTCTTTTCAGCTCCTGCACGTCATAGAGCAGGGTGGGCGTCATCATGCCTATGATCACCTGCTCGAAGTTGCCACTCAGTTCCGACTTCAAGTCATCCATCAGATCCTACAACAGAAGAAAACAGCTTGGCTTAAGTGCTGCAGTAGCTTAAAGGAGCCACTGGCCAAATGTGGTCTGAGATGTCTGAGGTCTTAAAGGGCCGCTAGGGGTCAGGCAAGGTCAACGCTTTCTTTTCATTATCATCCTCTTGCAAGTGAACATGGGGTTTTCTCAAGGATTCTTTTTTTTTTTTTTGGGTCCAGTCGTGGGGCCTGAACTCTGGGGCCTGGGCGCTGTCCCTCAGCTCTTCAGCTCAAGGCTAGCACTCTACCACTTGAGCCACAGCGCCACTTCCGGCTTTTTTTTTTTTTTTTTTTGCTTATGTGGTGCTGAGGAATGGAACCCAGGGCCTCATGCATGCAAGGCAAGTGCTCTACCACTGAGCCACCTTCCCAGCCCTTCTCAAGGATTCTTGACATATCTACATAACTGTGTTTATGTCAGAGGGCTATTAAAATGTTCCTCACTTCTAACTATAATCTGTATAAGACCAGATTTTCTTATATACCTCAATCACACCACATATTACAACAAACTGAATGCAGAAGCAGTTTGAGAATCCAGCAGGATATTAACTAAAGAGATTTGCAAATATAAAATGTTTGCCTTCTCTTTAAGTATTATTTTGGAGATTCAGGCATAGTGCTATACATCTATAATCCCAGTATTTGGGAGGTTGAGGTAGGAGGGTCAAGGTCAGCTGGGTGCCAATAGTTCCTGCCTGTAAACCTAGTTACTCCGGAGGCTGAAATGTGAGCACCATAGCTGAAACTCATAAGGCTCTTATCTGTTATTAACTACCACAAAAACTGGAAGTGGTGCTGTGGCTCAAGTGGTAAAGCACTGGTGTTGAACAAGCCCTAGTACTGGCATACACACAAGAATGCACAACTACATAGTAAGATCTTGATTCAAAAGAAACATATAAAAATTACTTTGAGTATATAGCTATTTTTCATAGAAATAATATTTTATTGTTATGACCATCATCATTATTATTTGTGCCATCATCATTATTTGTCACTGTACCTGAGATATTATGCTCAAGGCTGGTGTTCTACCATTTGAGCCACAGCTCCACTTCTGGCTTTATAATAGTTAATTGGATAAGAGTCTTGAAGACATTTCTGCTCCACCTGGCTTTGAACCATAATCCTCAGATCTCAGAGTCCAGAGGAGCTAGGATTATAGGCTTGAGCCACTGGCACTCAGCAACTTTTAATTTTTAACTATAAGTTAACTACATATATTAACATTTCCTCATTTTTATTTTTACTATTACTAAATATCAATTGTTATCATCCTCAGAAACTAAAAAGATCTCAGTTTAAGAGTATAAAGAAGCCGGGTGCCGGTGGCTCACGCCTGTAATCCTAGCTACTCAGGAGGCTGAGATCTGAGGATCGAGGTTCAAAGACAGCCCGGGCAGGAAAGTCCAAGAGACTCTTATCTCCAATAAAAACCACTAAAAAACCGAAGTGGCGCTGTGGCTCAAGTGGTAGAGCACTCGCCTTGAGCTGAAGAGCGCGGGGACAGTGCCCAAGCCCAGAGTTCAATCTGCACAACTGACAAAAAAAAAGTATAAAGATTTGGGATCATTAGATTTGTATCTTAAATGCATTGCTTAATAATATAGCCTGAATGTATTTTAAGACAATATTCATCTATGACATTTTAAACACTTAACATTTGTAAGGATTTCTGCCTATAGAATATAATTTTTATCCTATGTGTCTATTTTTGTAGTTGTTTACATAAGGTATTGAATTATATCTTTGTGATCATTCATGCTTATTTCTTAAGGTTCACTTCTTAAAAAGAAGTGTAATTATTTGGATAAAGAGCCAAATTCTAAACATATATGTTCATTATTTCCTCTTAGACCAGGTCTGGGAGTTTAAGAATCTTAAGATCATCTGACAATAAGGACCTCAGCTGTTATTCAATCCAGATCTGTCTTTCTTACAGACCTGATTTCACCACATTTTATGTTAACCTACTGTGCATATTTTAATATCATATTCATACATATTCAGTGAATTAATGGATGGACTTTAAAGATAAATTAATGCTTATTTTTATTAATGCTTATGATCATGTTTATTTATTAATGTTGATTATCTTAACAAATTACCATCAAGTTACTTTAGTTCTGAGACTAAATATCACCCAGAGAAGATGAACTAGGGTGACATACCTCTCTGAATGTGGTGCTATCACCTCAGAGGCCAGGGGCCAGGATAGAATAAAAGGGGAAAAAAAGAGAAAGACTGCTAGCACATTCTCTCTGTCTTTGCTTCCTCATCGCCATGTGAGCTACTCTGCTGTGCCCTGTCCAATCTGCCATAAGTTACTAAAACCTCTGAAATGATGAGTCAAAAAGAAATATTTCCTTCCCTTAAAGTTGTTTTCTCAGGTATTTATTTGGTTACCATTCTGAATAACTAATACAAGGTGTGTCCCTCAATTGATGCTCATCAAAGAAAGAAATATCCCCTACAAATCAGTTTATATGAAATCGTTTGGGCATTAAATCCTAGGAGAGCTTATTTAGATATGTTAGTCAGTTTGGGGATTGTCATCTTCAGGGCCAGGGAAGCAATCTGGAAGCTCAGCCTTGCCTGTTTTTGAGAACAGAGGTTTAGCACACATAGTAACCATAGCCTGCTAGGGCCTGGGGGAGAAGGAACCAAACTTGGCTTTGAGCCTGTGAATCAACAGCTCCTAAAAATTACTTCTGAATATATCTACTAGGAAAAACTTGTGTGTAAACTATTCTTGTATGCTTGTTTTTTCTTCAAGTGTGTCTTCAAAAAGAATTCTTTAAAACATTAAAAAAAATCTTTTAAAGTTCTTTGGCAGTAATGGCATTTGATCTCATAGTCTCCTGCTTGCAAGGCAGGTACTTTTTTACCATTGATTCACACCTCCCAAAGTTCTAAAAGTATTTTTGCTTTTAATTCACAGATAATAGTTGTATATAGGTGAGGGTAGCGTGTGCCAACTAAAAACATGTATATCGTATGTAAGGATCAGATTTATTACCTGATACATTTATCATTTCTTTATGTTGAGAACATTCATAATCCTCTCTAGTAGCTACTTTGAAATATTCAATGACTTGTTAACACAGTTGTTCTTCGATTCAACGGCTCCCTTATACCTGGTGAGATCTCCCTTCCTACCTTCCTCTCCTTATCCCCTCCCTCCCTTGACTCCCTCTTTTCTAGGTTTTGGTAAATAATTATGTCTAGAAATGTTTGTGAATAAGACAAATGATTTGGCTTTTAAAAATCAAGGCTACTTCAGGCATGTAGCTCAGGAAGAGGCCCTACTTCCATGTGGCCTGACCAGTCCCTGGTCGCACACCAGAGCAGGAGAGACTACACCTACCCTGCCGATAGTGGTCTTGTAGGCTGTCCTGATTTCCTGGCGCTGGGCAGTGTTGCGGTAGGCCAGGACTCTGATAATGGCGTCCTCATCGGTGCCTGGGGTGAGAAAGACAATGAAGGACTGGGGTTGGAGAGAGGAATGAGAAAGTTTCCCCCGTGAACACTGTTTACCCAGACAAATGCTGAGAGTCTGCTAAGAAAAAAGGTCCTGGAAGTTGGGCATGGTGGTGCACATTTGTAATCTCAGCACTTGGGGGCTGAAGCAGGGAGAGCTTGAGTTCAAGGCCAATTTGGGCTATAAAGTGAGAGAGATCCAGTCTCAAGGAGTAGGAAGAGGAGAAGAAGAAGAAAGAGGAAGAGGAGGATGAGGAGGCTAAGGGAAGGGAGGAAGGGAGAAAAAGGGAAAGAAAAAAAAGGGAACAAGTCCATCTATGTTAGTGGAAATTGGCATTAATCTCCTATCTGTAAATGTGAATAATCATGCTCAGGAACAGCATTCAGGCCTTGAGTTCAAGCCCCATACCAACAACTGCAACAAGAAAATCAGGAAGACAATAGATACCACCCACCCTTTATTTTTTAGTGCTCTCAGCTGAGCACAAGGCTCACCTTTGCTTACCTCCTGTTAATGTAAAAGATTCCACCTTTCCTTTAGTTGGCCAAATTTGAATCCCTGGAAATAGCTTTGATATCTTTTATGTCCCTCTTCCTCCATATTCAAATTCTCTCTAAATCATGCAAAATCTTGCTCTGCAACCTGTTTTGCATGTCTACTCATTTTTTTAACTCCTTACACTTGTATAGACCAGTTTAGGATCTCAGGGTTTCTTCTTTGACAGCTACTAGTCTGTTAACTACAATCCTTACCTTTCAATCAGTCACCTCAGAGCTCTTGCTATGTTCCTTTTCCAAACAACAACAACAACAAAAAACCACATCAAGTCCCTTGTCTGCAAAAAAATACCCAATGGCCTGTTGGGTATACTACAGATTTGTAGCCCGAAATGAGAGGCTCTTTATGAGCTCCTGTTCTATACTGTAAATATCCATGCAAAAAGATTGCACATAGCCTAATTCTTGGGCATAGTTCTTGAATTACTGCAGAGTGTGTGTGTGTGTGTGTGTGTGTGTGTGTGTGTGTGTGTGTGTGTGTGTGTGTGTGTGTGTGTGTGTGTGTGTGTGTGTGTGTGTGTGTGTGTGTGTGTGTGTGTGTGTGTGTGTGTGTGTGTGTGTGTGTGTGTGTGTGTGTGTGTGTGTGTGTGTGTATGCTGGTCCTGGAGCTTGAACTCAGGCCTGCTTACTGTCTCTGAACTTTTTTTTTTTTTTCTTATGTCTAGTGCTCTTCCGCTTGAGCCATAGCTCCACATACAGCTTTTTGGTGATTAATTGGAGATAAGCGTCTCATCACCTTTCCTGCTGGGGCTAGCTTTGAACCTTGATCCTCAGATCTCAGCCTCTTGAGTAGCTAGAATTACCACTGTGAGTCACCTGTACCTAGCCAAATTACTGTGCTTTACCCCCTGTACTGTACTCTATTCTACCATTACCATTCTATTGGCTTAGATGTTTTCCTAGATTTAGCATTATGATTTTGGCACTTGTGGTTTCCTAACAGTACCTTTGGGCCATCACTTCATATCTGTGGCTCCATGAGTAGCTTTCTCTGCAGAATCCTTGGGACCAACATCTCAGAAAGCTCCCAACTAACCTACTCCTGCTTTACACTGAAGGTCACCTTTCTGTGCACTGAAGGTCATCATTCTGTGCATTTACTGTGATTAGGTCTCAGCTCATATTCCTTTTACCTGAGACACATTCTGCCTATTGTAACTCATCTCTCAAGGTCCATCTCAAATTATCCATCCTCCAAGAAGCTTTGCCTGATGCTCCTGAATGAAATGTAAGCTCCTCTCCTTGAATCCCAAAGGGATCTTATTGATGATCCTGCTAGCATTATCATTTAATGAACTGATCGATCTCAGCTATTTCTGTGTAGGCCTTAACTGTAATGCTAACATCTATGGATTATTTGACCACCAAGACTAGGTTTTAGAAAGTAATGTATTATTTTTTTTATTTATTTATTTTACATTCTCTATTGGCCCACCCAGATCAGCCACTGAAAAATGACTGGTTGTGTCAAAATGTCCTTACTTAGCATTTTTGCACAGGTTGATGCTCTACCACTCGAACTATAGCTCCACTTCCAGCCTTTTGCTGGTTAACTGGAGATAAGAGTCTTTTGGATTTGTCTGCTCAAGGTGGCTTCATTCTTAGATCTCGGCCTCCTGAGCATCTAGGATTACAGGTGTGAGCCACCAGTGCCTGGCATTTTCCTGCTTTTTGATTTGAGAATTCTGAATGCTATGGGGTCCATAATCATAGTGTTCTTGCTATATACCAATATAGCTAAGCTCCTTATACTCCAGGTTCTCATAAGTATGAGTTGCTCTCAAGGTTTAAAACAAGTAATTCTCTCAAAGACTGTCTTTATGCCTCACACAGTACAGCTACTACTGTACATGTACACAGTGCATCTACTACTATTGTTACTCTTATTAATATCAGTATTATTATTGAATCTGAGTAAAATAAAGTCTTTCTGGATAGAGGAATTGCGAAGTAAGGGATGGTGGCCAAAAGTTTTTACCCAAATCTTCAAGAGATCCTAAATAGCAGATAAGAACCAGGGAACATTTCTTTGTCCAAAAAGTTCACCCAGGCAAAGTTTTAGAAGCAGGGACTAGGCCAGGGTAGCCTGCAGTGTACCTAACAGTGTGCCTATCTTTAAGAATATAATTGAAGGGTAGGGCCCTGAAATACATCATTAACCTTGTACATGAAATTTCTTACTCTGCAGGTTGGTTCTGCTGCAGCAGCTGAGGCCATTGCTGTAGCCCCAAGCAGAGGAACTTAAAAAGAAGGAGGTGGACTCCAAGTTGGCAGGCCTGAGCTGGAGACCAGGCATTGCCAAGTGTGAGCCATGGCTCAGTTTGCAAGAGTTTGCAAGAGTTACGTGACTTCTTTGGGACTTTGTTAAATGGGGCCAAAAGAGTAGCAATCACTGCTTTTACTCACTCATAGGGGTGCTCCATCTATCCAATGAGATAATGTCTGTGGATGTGCTTTGAAAACCTTATGTAACTACACATGTATCAGTGTAATTGAAAAATAGCATTCACAGGAGGTGGAGATCTAAGGATTGAAGTTCAAAGCCAGCTCAGGCAAGGAAAGTCCGTGAGACTCTTATCTCCAATTAACCACCAGAAAACCGGAAGTGGTGCTGTGGCTCAAGTGGTAGAGCAACTTGAGCTGAAGAGCTCAGGAACAGCACCCAGGCCCAGAGTTCAAGCTCCATGATCAACAAAAACAAAGAAAACAAACCATCCGAAGATTTGTGCAGAAGCCAGGTGCCGGTGGCTCACACCTGTAATCCTAGCTACTTAGGAGGCTGAGATCTGAGGACCATGGTTCAAAGCCAGCCTAGGCAGGAAAGTCCATGAGACTCTTATTTCCAATTAACCACCAGAAAACTGGAGTGGTGCTGTGGCTCAAATGGTAGATGCTCACCTTGAGCTGAAGAGCTCAGGGACAGTGCCCAGGCCCAGAGTTCAAGCCCCATGACCGACCACAAAAAAAAAAAAAACAAAACCTGTGCAGAGATTCATAATATAATTGAAAGCACACTTAAGCAATTGGGGAAATGTGTAATAAGTACATTAAATTTTCAATCCAGCATTAAATTACAGAATCAATGCATGCCCTCTGTTATAACTCGAATCTGAAATGTCCTCCAGAGGCCCATGTGATAAAGGCTTCGTCACCAGCTTTGTGCGCTAATAGAAAGTGATGGAACCTTTAAGAGGTAAAGCCCATTGAGAGGAAGCTAAAACATGGGAGAAGGGGAAGACGGTGCCCCTTAAGGGTCTATTGACTATAGGGATCCTGACGCCCTGTTTTTCTTTTCTTCATCTTTGGCTGCAAAGAGGAACAACTTCCTTCACCATGCACTCCTACCATGATGTTCTGCTTTTCCACAGGACCAACTAACCCTGGACTGAAATCTCCCTAATTATCAGCCCCAAATAACCTTCCTTCCTTTTAAGCCGAGTATCTCAGGCATGTTGTTATAGTAACATAAAGCTGATTAAACTCTTGCAGTACTTTTATTTTCCAGATCTGGGGATTGAACTCACTACCTTTTACATGCTAGGTAAGCACTCTACCACTTTAGCAACACTTCCTTTCCCTGATGTGTCTAGAAAAGTCATCTTGTTCACAAAGCACCTTCCTGGGTGTCTGTTATGTACAATGCAGGACAATATTCACCTCCCACAGGATACTTACTGAGATGACCCCACACACACCAGAAGTAGGGCATCCAAGCTACTCTTCACCTGCAGAAAGTCCTTCCTGCTATCTAGCCACACTCCCTCTTGCTTCAAGGAACTTACCCTCTCCCCTGAGCCCTCCTCCCTTGGGAGAGAAGCCCCCCAAAAGTACCCCAATTCATGTTATCCATCATTTCCCCTTTGAACTGCCAACACACTGTAAGGATGAAACAAGCATTAAAAGCAGACCTCTCACTAGAGAGAAACTCCAGGTTAATTATTAAAGAAACTTCTCTGGAGATGGGAAGGTATGAGAAGGGGAAACAAAGGAGGCGGCAACAATGCTTGATAAGAAATGTAGTCATTGGGCTGGGAAGGTGGCTCAGCGGTAGAGCGCTTGCCTTGCATGCTCGAGGCCCTGGGTTCGATTCCTCAGCACCACATAAGCAAAAAAGGAAAAAGCCGGAAGTGGTGCTGTAGCTCAAGTGGTAGAGCTCTAGCCTTGAGCTGAAGAGCTGAGGGACAGCGCCCAGGCCCAGAGTTCAAGCCCCACGACCGGACCCAAAAAAAAAAAAAAAAAGAAATGTAGTCATTATCTTGCCCATGTAATTGTAACTCCTCTGTACAGTATTTTCACAATTAAAAAAATCACAAAAAAAGAAACTTCTCAGAAGTAGGGACTCAGAGAAAATTAAGGCGTTAGACAGGTTAAGTGTAGTAAATAACAGTGAAACTCAGAAAGAGTCAGGAGCCCGGCGCCGGTGGCTCACGCCTGTAATCCTAGCTACTCAGGAGGCTGAGATCTGAGGATCACAGTTCAAAGCCAGCCTGGGCAGGAAAGTCCATGAGACTCTTCAATAAACCACTCGAAAACTGGAAGTGGTGCTGTGGCTCAAGCGGTAGAGCACTCGCCTTGAGCTGAAGAGCTGAGGGACAGTGCCCAGGCCCAGAGTTCAAGCCCCATGACCAACCAAAAAAAAAAAAAAAAGAAAGAAAGAAAGAGTAGATTCAGGAAACCTGGAGGGTAGTTTGATTTTGGAGATGGTAAGTCAGAAGTTTGGAATGTATTTTGATAAAGGTCAGCTAAATCCTTCTCAGGAGTGTCACAAAGGGTAAGTCTGGGAATGGAACTTTTGCTAGGGTGACTTATTGCCTTGTTTACTGAACTTGTAACTGTTATTTGTAATACTAGCTGCTAGGCCTGCTTGCTATCACCGACCCCACCACCTGTGAACCACCTGCCTGCCCCTCTAAAACCCTGCCGCAAGAGAACTCGGTGCTGATCTTCACTGTCTTAGTATAGTGAAGGTCAGACTCTGAGGCTAATAAAGGTTCCTAGCCTTATTGCCTGAGTGTTGGTGATGCCTTTCGCTGATTGTGGGTTCAAGTCCCACCGGCCTAGGGAAGTTGGGATACTTCACTTACCAAGTCCTTTCATGGCCTTCCTCAGGGCCTGGGCATCCTCGGTGGCACTGAATCCTGAAGCAGCCTTGATGGTACCTCCTTTGGTTGCCTGAGAACATGGAGAACAATGTGACTGATTGACAGCCAGCACCTCATTCAACAAATATGCTAGATACCTACCAGAGCCCTGACTCTACATTGGTGCTGCTGATACAGGAGTGACCACAGGAATGAGGCTCTTGTCCCCATGGAGCTGCTGCTCCAGCTGAGGAGGAGGCGCACCGTAAACAAGTAAATAAAGATTCTGTAATTTGCCTGGTGGGAAGAAGTACCATGAAGCAGACAGGAACCTGCTCCAAGAAGTAACATTTAGGCAAGAACTAACTGAACAGAAAAATGACAGATAAGAGAGAACTAACTGGCGGGCGCTGGTCGCTCACCTCTGTAATTCTAGCTACTCAGGAGGCTGAGGATCATGGTTCAAAGCCAGCCTGGGCAGGAAAGTCCATGGAACTCTTATCTCCAACTAACCACCAGAAAACCGGAAGTGGTGCTGTGGCTCAAGAGGTACGGCATGCGCTTTGAGCTGAAGAGCTGAAGGATACCACCCAGGCCCAGAGTTCAATCCCCATGATCAACCAAAGAGAGAGAGAGAGGGAAAGAGAGAGAAAGAGGGAGAGAGGGAGAGAGAGAGAGACAGAGAGACAGAGAGAGACAGAGACAGAGAGACAGAGAGACAGAGAGAGAAGCACACCATCAACTTCAAAACTTCAAAGGCCCTGAAGCTGGAACTTGATTGTAAGGAAGAACTAGTCAGTCAGTGTGGCTCAAGTTAGAAAGGAGGGAGTTGTTAAGATTTGTTATACCATTGACTATGAAGTAATTTTGTCCATTCAGAAGGAGAGAGAGAAAGAGAGAGAGACAGACTCTGATTTAAGAGATTTAAAAATGGTATATTTAAAGACAAAGATGGGGCTGGGAAGGTGGCTCAGTGGTAGAGTGCTTGCCTCCCATTCATGAGGTCCTGGGTTCAATTCCTCAGCACCACATAAGCAGAAAAGGCCAGAGGTGGCACTGTGGCTCAAGTGGTAGAGCGCTCACCTTGAGCTGAAGAGCTGAGGGGCAGTGCCCAGGCCCCACGACCAGACCCCCCCCCCAAAAAAAAAGGCAAAGATATCAATCATGAAGCTTAAACTTTTACGCTGTAAACCCTAAAACTGGACAGTTTCAGGCAAATAAACCCCAGCAGGACAGGTCAAGGAAAAGAAGAGTTTCATCTCTAACTGTGCTTCTTGTTACATGAAGTCCCTCTGCCGCCATGATTAAAACCTGCTCTGGTCTGCTGAGGTCTCTGCCTTCTTTCTCTCGTTTTGTCCACTTGATCTTTCCTAATACAGATGACTCATTTTCCTAACTGTCTCAGTGTGATGGTTATATATAATTTACAGAGTAAATTATCAGATATTTGAAATCTGCTCTGAAACAACACTGATAGGAAGATAAAGAAGAAACAAAATTGACTGTGAGTTAATAATTACTGATACACAAAGGTGTCCTCATAACATTGTTTACTTTTGCAGAAACTTAGTTTCTATGAGATAAAATACATCCAGCTCTCCCCTACCACCAGCCAAAAAAAAGTTCAAGAGAAAAGAGAAGAAAATCAGAAACATAGGCTGGGTTTTGGGTAGGGGAGGGTTAGGTAACCCTTCCAAGCTGGGTAAGGAATTTGCTTTGATTCTAAGTGCAGAAGGTAGCCAAGACAGGTTCAGCAAGGAGATAGTGTGTGCGATCTGATTTGCATTTGAAAATGCTCACTCCTGCTGCGAGGAGACACAGAGAACAGTTGAGGGTCTTAGCCAAGACAATAGATGGGAAGTGATGCTAGACTAGGGTGAAATAGCTAAGACAGAATCAGTCAAACTTGGCAGCCATTTCTGAGCAAAGGCAACAGGACTTGCTGGTGGGCTGGTGTGGGAGGTGAGTAACCAGTACCACTCTACATCTGAGCAAAGGAGTGCCAAGCGGTATTTTATCCAGATGGGGGAAAAAGGGAAGACTACTAGATTTGGGGTAGCAGTGAAGTTTGGGATTTAGACATTCTATTTTCAAAATATTAACTTTGAGATGTCCATTCAACATCCATGTGGAGTTGTCAGAAAGACAATTGGCTATAGGAGATTCTAGAGGTCAAATCTAAAGCAATACATTTAGGATGCACTGGCCTTTGGATAGCATTCAATGAGATGATCCAGAGAGAAAACAAAGAATGAGAAGAATAGAGGACCTAGGACATGCCTGAGTCTCCTGGACATTGTAGGTCCAGTAGATAGAGAGCCTATCGGGGATGACTGTGGACCAGACCTGGAGTTGGAAGGAAGCCTGAGATACTCTGCCATCTAGAGGCTGAGAACAGAACTACAGTGAGAAGCTTCCTGGGTAGAAGCTGAAGTAGGAGAGACAGAAGTTCATTTTTTGAACCTGTATATTGGGAATTCTTACATCAATTAACAGAATTGCTGTAATAAACAGGGTGGGTTGGGAAGGTGGCTCAGTGGTAGAGTGCTTGCCTGGCATGCATGTGGCCCTGGGTTTGATTCCTCAGCACCACATAAGCAGAAAAAGCTGGAAGTGGCGCTGTGGCTCGTGGTACAGTGCTAGCCTTGAGCTGAAGAGCTGAGGGACAGCGCCCAGGCCAGAGTTCAGGCCCCACGACCGACCAAAAATGAAAAAAATTAAAAAAGTAAAGAAACAGAGTAATATAGAAAAGCATTTAGCAGAAAACTGAGGAAAAAGTAAATACTAAAATGAAAACTTCAACTAGATGGTTATCACGGTCACGATCATCGTTTAAATATGATTTCAACAACATCTCCATAATTAATACAATAATGAAATCCTTCTATTCTGCCAGTAACCTCAAAGATTGTTCATTTCACTCTATATAACTCAAACGTCTCTGAAAACATTTTAGATTTACTTAAATAGACTAGCTTTTAAACATATGATCAGCCCTGGAGAAGACCACAAGTTCAAGGCCAGCCTGGGCTATACAGCAAAACTATCTAAAAATCAAAACCAAGATAAACACACAAAAGATGTGGCCTTGTAGAGAATTTTTAAAAATCAAACAAACCAAAAAGAAGATTAAAACCTTTATAGTTTAAAGTAATTTTATTTTATTATTTATTTATTTATTTATTTGTAGGTCACGGGGCTTGAACTCTGGGCTTGGGCGCTGTCCTTGTGCTCTTCAGCTCAAGGCTAGAGCTCTACAGTGTCACTTCCGGTTTTCTAGTTGTTTATTGGAGATAAGAGTCTCTTGGACTTTCCTACCTGGGCTTGGCTTTGAACCGAAATCCTCAGATCTCAGCCTCCTGAGTAGCTAGGATTACAGGTGTGAGCTACTGGTGCCCAGCAAAAGAGTAAGTAATTTTAGTATGGCACTGGAGTACATAGTTTTAATGCTATAAAATATAGCGTAAAGATGTTAGTATAAAGATGAGATATTACAGTGAATACATAGCTTTCTTTTCTTTCTTTCTTCCTTTCTTTGCAGTACTGGGATTTCGAACTCAAGGTCATATGTTTGCTAGGAAGGTGCTCTGCCACTTGAGCTATACCCTCAGTTCTTTTTGTTTTACTTTTCAGATAGAGTCTCCTTCCTTCCTTCCTTCCTTCCTTCGTTTCTTCGTTCCTTCTTTTTTTTTTTCTTTTTTGGTCCAGGCTGGCCTCAGATCATGATCCTTCTATTTACATCCCCTGCATAAGGTTGGTGATAAGACACACAGTACCACATCCAGTTTATTGGTTGAGATACTAACTTCTTTTCTTTTGACTGGGTTTGAACCTCCATTCTTCCAATCTCTGCCTCCTGAATAGCTAGGATCACCAGTCCAGGATCTCCATGCCTGGCCTTGGAGATGTAATCTTTATATCCTATTCCACTTATAATTTTATTCTAAGCATTGTCCTATACAGGTGGGGAATAGAGCAAAACACAAAACATTTATGTTTTTAAAAATCACTTTAAATGTGTTTGTGACTCTAAGTATCACTATTCCACGGTGCTGTGAAATATGTGAAATTTATGTAATCACCTAATCTCAATTAAAGAAAAAAAAGTAAGAGAAGGGATGGGTTAAGAGATATGGGTGACAATGTTGTCAGACACTTTGTATTCATATACTGTTTTGTAGATTGGGAACTTCTTTGTAAAACTACTTAAAGATAATAAAAACATTTATAGTGAAAAAAAATCACTTAGTCTTGGGGTGGTGAGGGGGAAGGGAAAGTAGGAGAAAATAGGGAAGGGGTAACAAGATTGACAAGAACTGTACTTATTACCTTACTTATGTAAGTGTAACCCCTCTGTACATCACCTTGACAATAAAAAAGATATAAAAATAATAAAAGAATCACTTAGTCTAATATAAAATGGGAAATATGTATGTGTTTCAGTGTTGTGATTGAATTATGTGATTTTTTTCTTCTAAACATGTCCTCTATCTGCCCAGTAAAATGAGTCATGATGAACGAGCAGGGTCCGGGGGAAAGATGAGGGCAACTAAGGTGATTCTTTACAACTCACTGCAAGATTATGTTGCTCCTGTCTTTGCTGCAGGAAAGCTATATGCTTGTTGAAAGGGAAGAATGGTATTCTGTTATTATTATTTATTTATTTTTTTGCTAGTCGTGGGCCCTGAACCCTGGACCTGCACACTCTCCCTCAGCTCTTCAGCTCAAGGTTAGCGCTCTCCTACTAGAGCCACAGGACCACTTTCATTTTTTTTTCTGCTTATGTAGTGCTCAGGAATCGAATCCAGGGCCTCAAGAATGCAAGGCAGGCACTCTGCAACTGAGCCACCCCCCAGCCCCTATTCTATTAACTTTAAGCTCCCAAAACTAGTATGGATCCCTAGTAGCACCAAGAATATTTCTGGGTAAATATTTTTCAGCCTAGAGAGAATCAAGCAACAAGAAATGGATGATCAAATCATTAAGGCTTGAAGTGAACATGAATAAGCCTTTGTCAGGGATCCTGAAAAAAAATTCTAGAATAAAAAAAATTGAAGCTGAGCATGGTGGCTCACTCCTCTAATCCTAGCTACTCAGGAGGCTGAGATCTGAGGATCATGGTTCAAAGCCAACCAAGGAAGGAAAGTCCATGAGACTCTTATCACCAACTAACCATCTAAAAACTAGAAGTGCAGTTGTGGCTAAAAGTGGTAGAGTGCTAACCTTAAGCAAAAAAGCTCAGGGACAGTGTTGAGGGCCTGAGTTCAAGCCCCATGACCAAAAGAAAAAAAAGTTTGAGTATATTCTTGCTGGCATGGTGGTTCATGTCTGTAATCCCAGCTACTAGGGAGGTAGAAATCAGCCTAGAAAAAAAGTTAAGGAGACTTCATCTAAATCAATAGCTGGGTGTATGGTATGCATCTGCAATCCCAGCTACTCAGGAAGCATAGATAAAAGGATCACAGTCCAGGTCAGCCTGAGCATAACTGTGAGATCCTATCTGCAAAAATAACTGAACCAAAAAAGGGCTGTGGGTGGCTCAAACAGTAGTCACGTTGTTAGGTAGAACATCTGCCTAGCAATGTTGAGGCCCTATATTCAATCTGTAGTACCTTTTTTTGTGTGTGTGTGGTCGGTCGTGGGGCTTGAACTCTGGGCCTGGGTGCTGTCCCTCAGCTCTTCAGCTCAAGGCTAACGCTCTACCACTTGAGCCACAGCACCACTTCCTGTTTTCTGGTGATGGATTAGAGATAAGAGTCTCACAGACTTTCCTGCTCAATCTGGCTTTGAACTGTGATCTCAGCCTCCTGTGTAGCTAGGATTACAGGTGTGAGCCACTGGCACCCCGCTCCATTTTTTAAAAAAGCATATATTCTTATGTGTTCAGGATAGTTTTCTTATCTATCTTTTTAAAGGAAGTCATCTAGAGCTGGCAGAGGCTCCAATTCCTTTCCAGGTGTTACGATTCTACTCCTATTATTTTTTTCCAGTTGGAGCCAGGATTGGAACGACCCATTTATCAGGAACCTTCTTTAGATAGGAGGACAGCAGATGGCTTGCCTTAGCAGAGCCGTGTCCATAGCCAAAAGGCTCAGCTTCCTCCAGTGCTGAACTGAACAGAACTCACAAAGGGATCTGATTCCATGCCTGGCTCAAAGATCAGATAACCAAGCTCTGCCGGATCTGATCACAGTTGAAAACAGGAGATCAATGGGAAACACCTGTTGCTAGGAATCACCCCTCAATGCACTGAAATGATGGGGCTATCAACTTTGGTTGATAATAGTAGGGCATGCTTTTTATTTGCCTAAGTGTTATAAAATGAACATGAGAGAAAACTGTAACTTGTTTCTATATTATCAGGAGATTAACTGGATTCTGTCTTTGAGTTAATTTCCAGGGTCAAGTTATTCATCATCTCTGAAATGATGAATAACTAAATGATCTTCCAAAAAAAAAAAAAAAAGAAAAAAAGAAACTCTCTTTTCATGTCCTCTCCCCTCCCCTCCGCTGAGCAAACAATGCTTTGTTTAAAACAGTCCCAGAGTTCACATTCTGTACCTGACGGTGGCTGGCACCAGATAGAGGGGTGAGGCACTCCACAACTTACCATGGCCATGGTGAAGATCAGAGCCAGTCACCTGACAGGAGCTTCTCTGTGGAAAAAGCAAAGGGGAAATTACTGTGATGAAGGAAGTGATATTAAAATCATTACTCTGTTATTTGCACATCGTTAAGCCAAACGGAAATGACACATATCTTCATGTAAAAGTAGTTATGTATTAGGCATAGAGTCAGGGGTCAGGCTAATCATTAAAGAGAAACTGTTAGAATGGTCAGGTTTATTATGCCAACAAAATACTTTCCTAGTTGCGCTTCTGTTTGGAGACACACACTATAGAAACAACTCCTGTTGGTTCACCAGGTCCTTAAACTACATTGCTGAAAAGCACTGACTTGTCACCTGGACCCATGAATTCATCTAAAGCAGGAGGAAAGCTTGGCATCCCTGCTTCCATTTTGTGTCTGTCTTTGCTCTAAATTATTCTTTCTGCAGTTACTTTGTCATGAGATCTGGGAAGCACAGGACTTATTGATAACATGTTTAGAAGCAGGCACGGAAAATATTGCTCCAAAAAAAGAAACAGCAGAGAACTACAAGACAGACTACCTGTCAGGCAATGATGACTTGTTTACCCTCACAAAGACAGAGATATTTTCCAGGCCCTTCTTAAGAAAACAAGGACTAGGGCTGGGAAGGTGGCTTAGTGGTAGAGTGCTTGCCTTGCATGCATGAGGCCCTAGGTTCGATTCTTCAGCACCATATAAGCAGAAGAAAAAAAAAAAGCCAGAAGTGGTGCTGTGGCTCAAGTGGTAGATGGCCCTGCCTTGAGCTGAAGAGCTGAGGGACAGCGCCCAGGCCCAGAGCTCAGGTCGCACCACCATACCCAAAAAAAGAAAAAAAGAAAACAAGGACTAAAGCCAGTCTGGTGGTTCATACCTGTAGTCCTAGCTACTCAGAAGGCTGAGAACTGAGGATCATAGTTCAAAGCCAGCCCAGGCAGGAAAGTTCATGAGACAATCATCAGAAAAGCTGGAAGTAGAGCTGTGGCTCAAGTGGTAGAGCACTATCCTTGAGCAAAAAGGCTCAGGGACAACATCTAGGCCATGAGTTCAAGTTCCAGGACTATTATGAGAAAAAAAAAATCATGTACCACAACACACCTGTGACCAGAGATGCTTGATCATCATGTATAACCCACTCTCTCTCTCTCCACTTCTTGGTTTATTTTAACCTAAAGCTCACATCTATATCCAGAAGATGGCTGAAGATGAGCTGACATCTTCCTGTACTGCTTGCGTCTCATGATATTGCCCTTCTTTGCCCTTTACTATATTTTTTTATTAGGTATATTGGAGTGAGTGGTCAGACCGGACATGTAGAGTCTAGGGCCTCAAATTGGTTTCAGCTTTCTTACTGGATTGAAGCTGGACATACATATTAAACTGTATGCTATGGTGAAGTGTCCATATGGAGACGTGTCCCACTAAAGAGAGAGGGAGAGAGGAAGAGAGGGAGAGGACAGACCAGTAGTCTAACCAACATTAGAATCTGTTCATTTCACAATGACTATTTTGACTGTTGCCATTTCAGGATTATTCTGTCCTTTATTGCAGCCGTATGCATTCAGTTTTGTCCTCAGTTTCGAGCACTTCCTCCTCACCAAAGGAATTTTTCAGTGCATAAGAAAAAGAAACGTTTGGAGTGTAGATTGGGTCCTTTGTTAGGGTTCTTACAACATACTGGGCAAGTCCCTGAGGAGAACGCAATCTGCCTCTGTTTCCATATCTAAGTCACATGGATAAGACATCATTTCTAACCATTTAGTTAGATCCTTGACACTCAAATCCTAGAACCAGAAGTTTGAGTATCTCAGGAGTTTGTTAAAAATGCAGAATTAGGCCAGGCACTGTGGTTTATGGCTGGAATCCTACCATGCAGAGAAGGCTGAGGAAGAGGATTGGGAGTCTGAGGCTAGCCCAGGCTATGTAGCAAGGCTCTGCCTCAAAAACAAATACAAACAAACCACCACCACCACCAATAATAATGATGAAAGCAGACCCTCACCCTCTCTCCCAGACCTACTGTTAGAATCCTCATTTTAGCAAGATTTTGGAAGCATTTGTCTGCCCAGTAGTTTGAACAACACCAAACCTAGATAACCAGGCTGAGGATCACTTTCCAATGATAGCTTAGTCATTTTTAGCTCACATTTTTTTTAATCATTTGAGTTTTGTTTTGGTTGTGCTCACTTCTCATCTTCTAGATTTTCTCAGGCCTAACTCTATTTGTGGTTTTCACCATTCATGTGAACTGATCTCAAATTACCCAGGGTTTCAGCCCCTTCTTAGGAGATAGGCCTGATAGGTTCTGAGGTACTTATGTGAGCATAGTCAGAGGTAGGCCCAGAGATCAGGCTGGAAAGTAGGAGGAATTGACTGGTAAGGAAGGGCCTTGTTTTCCCAAGTGAGGAGTGTAGCTTTATATTGTAATGGGAAAATAGTGGTAAGCTTGTTAATTGCAGAGAAATTATATGAAAACAGAAATGCTTTCAAACGGTACTAAAGTATAGGATAGACAGGAGTGAGAGAGACTAGAATGGATGTCAGAGTCAGGAAGGCTTGCAAGAAAATCCAGGGGATCAGGAAGGCTTGAAGAATGACTACAGAAAGAGTCAGGGAGAGGGGAACAGGTAAATAGGGTGTGGCACATGGAATATAATCTTGAGGACTTTATTGGATGTTGTGATTCATTGACTATATAAACATATTCATTCAATCACCAAATATCCATGACACAAGTATATATTCCAGGTACTACCCTGGTTGATAGAAAAAACACAGTATATAAGACAAAGAACCTGCCTTCGAGAGCTTATAGTCAACCAGTAGAGGGTCAAAAGATAAACCAGTGTATATATAAGACCATTTCAGATACTAGTAAGAAGAATGTATAACAGGATAATGCTACACAGCAGGGGTCAGCAGATTACATTAGCTCATGGGTCAAATTCTGTCTTGTATCCTACATGCTAAGACCAATCTTCATTGTTTAAAATAGTTGACAGAAAAGCCAAAAGAAGGATATATCATGATATACAGAGATGATATAAAATTTAAAGTTCAGTGCTGTTAAGATGCCTCTGTGCATTTTAAGTCTGGCTTAAAGGTTTTTCCATACACAATATACTATAACCTAACCTGATAGGCAAATAGACTACAACCTACTCCTTTAACAAGTAGCTACACTTCAGTCAATCAGAAGCAGTCAACTGTTCAAGTCACCTTCAAATAGACAGATAAAAGCTATAACCTATCAGGCTATCTCTTGTACCTCACTTCCTGTTTAATGTCTGTCTGTCACTCTCTTCCTTTTTTCTAGTTATAAATAAAATCTATTGTAGGGCCAGATATTTTATTCTTTTTTAAATCTAGGCTGCACCTGGTTCTAGAATCATAAAGCCAATTAAGATCTGCAAAAGCAGATTTATTGAAATTTTATCTCTTAACAGTTACCATAAATAGAGACCTATTAGTGCATAGCTACCTCCGTTTATTTATGTATTTTCTGGGGCTGCTTTTATGCTTACAAGAGCAGATATGAATAACTCTGACAGAAACCATAGTGTCAACAAAGATGAACATATTTACTTTTCAGGACAATTTTGTTAGCCTCTAACCTGGAGGATGCTGTCATCAGGATACTAGAAAAAGGCTGGCCTGGACAGGGTGAGTTTGGACAAGAGGTGATCTAGAAGGTATCTCTGAGGAGATGACATTGGGCTCAGTGAAGTTCTGAATGCATAGGAGGGCTTGTCACTCCTTGATTCTGAAGGAGAACTCTTTTAGGGAGGGAACAGTGGGTACAAGTATCCTGAGGTATGTGTCGCTGTAGCTCAAGTGATAGAGCGCTCGCCTTGAGTTGAAGAGCTGAGGGACAGCGCCCAGGCCCAGAGTTCAAGCCCCACAACCGACAAAAAAAAAAAAAAAAAAAAGAATCCTGAGGTACAAATAAGCCTCCAGTGGTAAAGACAAGAATGAAAGTTTCCCAAACAAGGACAAGAGTGTCACAAGGTAAGGATACAGTAGGTCTATGTGCTGCTGTGACTTATAATAAGAAATGGTATTTGGTTTTCATCCTGCTGGCACAGAATATCTATAATTTCTGGAATTGCTAATTTCCTTCGCCCATTAAGGGGGAAAGGTATATCTGTGTTACTCACAGCAAGCCCCTCAACCACACCTGTGTTCGTGTTCATAATGACCCTTGGAAAGCCCCAGGGTAACTACAGAATGGGAGACTCATTGCAAGGGTAACCAAATACGTGATTAGAGGATTGAAACTTTTACTTTCCCACCTCAGGGAGGAGAAAAGAGCTGGAGATTGATGTAATCACCAATGGCCAATGATTTAATCAATCATAATAAAGCATCCATAAACCCCCAAAAAGATGGATAGGAGAAGAGCATAGGAGTTCCATGTCCCCTGCCACAAACCTTGTCCTATGCACTTCGTCCATCTGCCTATTCCTCATTTACAGCTGTTTATGATAAACTCATAAGTGAGTCAACTGTTTTCCTGAGTTCTGGGAGCCATCAAAGCAAACAATTATATAACAAGGCTCCTCAGTTTATAGCCTGTCAGACACACAACATGGCCTTGGGATTGACATCTTTTTTTTGAGGGGGAGAGGTTTCGGGAGGGGGGGGTCCGGTCATGGGGCCTGAACTCTGGGCCTGGGCGCTGTCCCTCAGCTCTTCAGCTCAAGGCTAGTGCTCTACTTCTTGAGCCACAACAGCACTTCCAGCTTTTTTTCTTTTTGCTTATGTGGTGCTGAGGAATCGAACTCAGGGCCTCAGGCATGCAAGACAAGCGCTCTACCACTGAGCCACCTTCCCAGCCCGGGATTGACATCTTAAGTAGGACAGTCTTGGACTGAACCTAAACCTGTGAGATATGTCAGTAATTCCAAGTAGACTGTGTCAGAATAGGTTACCTACTTGGTGTCCACTGAGAATTGGACAATTACTTGGTGTGGGAATTTCATCAATACACATTTGTTGGCTGAAGCTAAGATCACAATACCCCAACGTA